TGTGGGAAGCTTTCTATGATTCTTCAAATTCCTAGGACTTTGATTCCTTCTATCATTTTTTTTTATTCTTCAATTAGATGAAGAGTCATTTTCTGACGCTTTCTTTTATGATTTTTATTATGCTATGAAGCCATGCAGTGAGTTTTTTAGATATTGTCATTTTTGCTCTAAAATTTAAACATTACATTTTTAACGGTTTCATTTCTCTGCTGAGGTTTCTTGTCCTTTCACTCATTACAAACATATTCTTCCTACATCGTTTCCCCAATAATTCTACTGCTGCTCTAAAGTCCTCTGTCTCCTAATCAAGGTCCTGTTGGGATTGGTCTGTTGATTGTATGTTTTCTTGAGAATGGATTATGTTTTTTTCCTTCTTCAATCTGGATTGCATGCTGAACCTTGTGAATGTCACACTGTGAACTCTATCTTATTAGCTAAAGTACTGGTATTTTTGCTTCGGTAGGAAATCACCATGGTTAGGTTCAAACTACAAACTCCTCTGAGCAGCAACTCAAATCTCAGTTTCAGACTCCTCCTCCCCTGTACGTCCTGTAGTCTCACCCGCACACATGCAGTTCAAAGCTCAGAGATTTGGGCAGGGTTTGCCTGGAGAATGTGGGGCTACCCCAATCTAGCTTTCTCGGGGACCCATTTCTCAACCTCTAACAATCGCACTCACCCCAAACTAATTCTTCAGTCTAGAAAGACTGCAGGTTTTCTACCAAAATTTCAGGCACCAACACAGCATGGACTTCACCCTGCTCTGAAGCTGACAGTCCTAAAAACTCTGAAAATTCCATACTGGACCCTTTTCCTAGTTTAGTCTCCCCTCTAGACTTTGCTGCACTTTTTTACACTCTAGGACCTTCAAATAATTATGTTGAACGTTCTGTTAAGAATGTATTCTTGTTTTCCATGGGAAATTTGGCTAGAAGTTTACTCAGACACATCAGAATTTTTTTAAAAGAGGAACAACTCATTTATGTGTCCTGTCATTGAAACGTCTGATCTTGTACTCTGATTTTTTTCCAAGTGTTTTCCAGCTTTTTTTTCTTAGAGTAAAATACTTCCTTGTGATTAAAGTAACAGGCATGTTTCAAAAATTCTTTCAAAAAATTCTAAAATACTTGACCGCACAAATCCCTAGTTATCAATGCCACAAACAATAACACTGTCACTCAGACTCTGATGATCGCAAGATTAAAATTATTCCCCAGCTCGTGTAATTTTTTATCCTGAGACAGTCTCGCTAAATTGCCCATGTAGCATGTAAACGTGCCACCCTCCTGCCTCATCCTTCCTCAGTGCTGAAGTCACAGGCATGTGTCAACATGGCCAACACGCTGCTGACTTTAATTTAATTTTAATTAATCTCTTATTCACCTAGCTTTACTTTATTTCAGATAATATATAAGCAAACAAGTCTTAAGCGCAATCTGTTTTCTTCTCTCATCTGAGGTTTTCTGATATTTACAGTCTGTTTTCCTGATTTGAAAGAATACAACGCAGAAATTTCCTAGAACATAGTTCTCCTGGCCCTGGCAGATCATCTGTTAAGATGTCATTCTCCTACTTTTCAAAGGTCATATTTGATGCTGCCATGCTTTTAATGGTCCCCATATTAGGGTTTTTCTGCTTATATAAGTTAGAATAAGGAGTGCTATGTCTAACACTGGCACCCTCTGCAGTCAGAATACGTGGCTTTTGCTTGTTTCTCCTCACATCTACCAAGTTGATTTCATAATCTTTCTGTCTGTAATTTAATTCAATGTTAAGAGTGAAAGTTGTCAGCTGTGACTCATTCACAACTGTAGTAGAAATGCTGCCAGTTTCCCTGCTAAGCATTATCCTGACTTTTCAATGAGATAGATATATGTGGTATATTAAGAAACTATCTTTATGTTTTATGAATAAGAAAAGATGCTAACTTTTGCCAAATGCTTCTTCAGCCTTGATGGTGATGATCACTGGATTTTTTTCTAAGCAGTCAAGTGATAAATTGCATTGATATGCACATATGTGTGTGCACACATATAACTATTAGCCAACCTAATCTTTTGTTTCCTGTAGAAGACAAGGCATGGTGGTATGCACCTACACTCCCAGCACTCAGAGGGCTAAGGCAGGAGGATCGTTGCAAGTTTGAAGTCAGTTCGGGCTATACAGTGAGTTCAAGGCCAGCCTGAACTGCACAGTGAAACCCTGTCTTAAAAAGACAACAAATAATTATTATGAAAATGCTAACCTGAGTAGAAATCATAATTGGTCTGGTAAAATAAGGAAAACAAGATTATTCTTGATATTCTAACACAACCTCATGCATTTTCATTATAACAAACAATAAATAAAACCTAGGCTTCAGTGTGCTGGTAGCTCTAGGTTCCATCAACAAGGCCCCTTTTCTTTTATACTGCCAATGAAGCTCTATCTATTTAATTTACATACTGCAGTCTCTATCCCCATAAAACTGTATTACTATTTTTATCTAGTTCTCATTTAATTATTAACTTAATTCTAATTGTTTTTGTTTAGCTTTGTTTTTTGAGATTGGTTCCTCCTGCGTATTCCAAGCCTTAAACTCACTGTGTAGCCCAGGCTGGCCTCGAACTCCCAGGGAGTCTGCTGTGCCAGCCTCCCAAGCACTGGGCTTTAAGGTTTGTGCCACTACTCTCCAGTTCTCTAGTAATTTAATCAGCAGTCTGTTAATTTACTGTGTATCAATCCAATTAAATTTTATAGTATTATTTTTCTCAGGAGAATATCAGGAAAATTGACAAAAAATTTGTTTTGGAATATAAAAGATGATAATCATATGTGGGAAATTTTTTAAAGCATAGATTTCATGTCTAGCTTTTCAAATAACCCAACATTATAATCTTGAAAAGTATATTTCGAGATTTGTATATGGTTACTCAAGAATTTACCTAAGTGACAAATAGGGATGAATCATTTATTTGAGGTTTTGTAAAACCAAGACTACAAACCATGTATGTGTTTTACCTAAAATTTCCCTAGTCATTACCCATTCCCATGGATTTGATCCAAGATCTCACCTTACATCCCTTAATCAAATTACCCCATAAAACATAAGACAGCAGAGCAATTACAAGACACTGAAAATGTTCAAAATATACCAAATGTATATTGGCAAGAAAGTAAAGAAAATTCCTACAGGCCAAAAAGCAAACGGCGAGCTGAAAACTAAAGTACTAGTCATAAACTAACAATGTTTTCGGGTTTCCCCAGCTGCTTTGGATCCAGTGAGTAGGCCTAGATAACAGGGTGACACGGAGGAAATCCATCTTTGGTCCCTTATTCTCTGTCCCTGAGTGTTGCTTCCGTTTCCTGTTCTTCTACAAGACTTTCCCAGACCACCCTACTCCAAAATTAATATTCTCTTAGGTTCCTAATTTCTAGTGTTGGTGCTACTTTTACTCACTTGCCCATTATTTTCAATTAAAATGAATATTATTAAATATTCCTCAGGTATGTTAAAGCTGATCATTCCTTGTTCCGTAAACCAACAAGTTCTTACAGGAAAAAGATTAGGGTGTGACTGTAACCTCCATTACTAAGAGCAGCCCTAATGTTACCCAGAAAGTTGGTAACTAGAAGTGGGAGAAGTGAGATGAATGGAGCAGAAAAGACCCAAAGGATCAAAGCACTCATGCAGACGGAGAGACAGAGACACCCGTTCCCCTCCTCCGGGCGCTATTCTCCGGCTCCTCGCCTCTAAAGCGTCTGTCTTTAGTGATTGGCAGCTGCATCATTTATCCAACGCACTGTTTCCTTCTCCTCAATGCCAACTTATAGTCAGGTACCATTTTATCCCTTAAATTTCTTTTCCTCATATCTTTCCTTTTCCTCATATCTGCTGCCGCTGCCCCATTCGATCAGCAAATCCTACTGACTTTGCCTTCAAAACTGATTCAGAAGATGACATTTCCATCTCTTTGCAGCTCTGTCGTCTCCTTCCAGGTCTGCTGCAGTAACCGTCTAAACGGCCTCCTAATACCAGCCTTGAAGCCCCATCCCCGAAGTCTGTTCCCAACACAGCAGCCAGAACGATCCCTTTGAGACATGCATTCATTCAACATTCAAAGACTGTTTCCTGAGATTCACCTATGCACTAGGCACTGCTGTAGCTGCTTGAGAGTACAGGTGAGTAAAGAGATCAAAATCACTGCTCTCGTGAAGCTTCTGCACACCAGAAGCAAGGAGATGACACAACAAAATGTGATGTGAGAATATACAGTGAGTCTCTAAGACCAACGAGGAAAACAGCACAGGGTAACAGAAAAGAGTACCAGGTAAAAAGGGCTGTGTGGCATAGATTCAAGTAAGGACCAAGCCTCAGCTTCATCAGCAAAGTCACTTTTGTGCAAAAAGATTTGAAGAAGGTAAGGACATAGCCAGAAAGTTATCTGGAGGAAGAGGGGTCCAGGAAAAAGATGTTACCGTTTAGTCTCTCTTACAATATTACTGTTTGGTTCCTTGGAACTAAACTGACCGCATCATAAGCTGAAAGATTTTAAACTTGTTTTTGTCTAAATAGTACTTGTATTCTAACCCTTCGACTTTCCTAATAAGCCACAAGGGCTTTTTTAGAAATGACAAATTAAGTGAAGTAGTAGAAACTACTCGCTCATGCAAGTGAGCTTTGTCTTTTTCTAAAATTTAATTAGGAGTTTCATCTTTTATTTCACTGAGTTTTGATGGAAAGGTTGTAGTTCTGATATGTACATATGGCGAATCTAATATTCTAGGGAAAAAGAGCAAATATATCAACATGGAGGTCAACTGGGTTGAGCTCAGTAAGGTTATTAAATTTTTCAAGCACAAACACAGACTGGATTTTCAGATAAAGCCAGTTATAAAACTAGCAATAAGCAAAGTCATCAGGTTTATTAACAAAATAAAATTAGCACAAAATTCTGGACCTCTAAAAGCTCGTTAATTTCTACCTAATTGGATGAGACGAGCACAGGGCTCGGTTTTACCTTCCGGTGGTCTGTTGGATGTTGCCACAACGACGACCCCATTTTTGAACAGATTTTCAAAAAGCTGTTTTAGAATCATGGCATCAGCAATGTCAGTGACCTATGGACAACAACACATTTGTTTTATTTTAATTTCACTTCTGCTCTAACAAGTTTACTAATGGCTCATCTTTTTTAAAGATGGAAGTGAATTCAAAGAGAAAAATTCTAATTATCACCATGAAGAAAAGAATAGACAATTAAAAGCATGAAAGACTGTGTAACAGCCTTTTAAACTTAACTCTTCTCTTTTTTACAAGCCTATCATTTTTACACAAATTATCAAATGATTCTATGTTAACTTCTTTTATAGAACTACAGGTGGAAAGCATAAATAACTGCCCTAAACATTTAGGAAGTCTAATTAATGAGAACACGATCGACTCCCTTCTCCGACTGCCACCCGCCCTCCTCCACATACTCCAAAAAGCAGAAAAACAAAATAAAATACACAGGCTGTTGGCAATTTCTGATACCTTTCTGGTAAGGGTCCCAGAAAGGTGACTTTCAATGGTCATGGGACTTCAGAAATAAGGACAAGTAGCTAGTGAGACATAATCAGCTGCTGTTGAAAATAGAATGATATGACATAGATACTATTGTGCAATTGTTGCACAAAACAATTCAACAGATGGCCCATCACAAAAATAAGCAATTTCATTGTTCTTTTTAAGTGCCTTCTATTACTGTCCATGAATAATCAAAAGGCACTGCAGTCACTTTTCCAGCACAGCCAGCCTCTGCTAACCTTCACAAACACAAATATTCCTTATTTAAAAAAAAAAAAACCCTGTAAGAACAGTTAATACAGTGCTTTGGGGAAAAAAAAGTAAAAATGCATAATGCACATAAAACTACTCATCAGTTAGGTTACAGGGAAATAGGACTACTCATCTTTTCTTAAATTATTTATTTTTAAAATTCACAATGAAAACATAAGCTTAATAATTTTTAAACTTTAAAACACACAAAGAAATACAGCAGCAAGGAAAGCCGACTTCAAAAATAAATGTATACTGAAAGCTGATTTTAATCATTGCTACGTCCCCTAAGTATATGCCAACATGAGTTACCCTCAATGTGAAAATGTTTGGTATTTCTTTATTAATATATTTCAAGTAATCTTAATAAAAACTTGCTTTACATAGAGTTGCTACATAGATCACACTATTATTTTAAAGCCCTGTGAAGGAACACAGAAACCAGTGGAATTCTTACAATTTGTTCAAAATACTAAGCTACTAACTAAACGGTTCTAACACAGCTAATAACAATCTAGGTCTAACTCGCATGTCTCTTTACAGCTGATATCTTATTCAAAGTTTAATGATCTTTTAGCCACCTGAATGAAACAAAACCATGGAAGGGGGAGGTGCACTTTTCTTTATCTGTCTCAAGCTGCAACTTGAAAACATATTAACTAAAAACTACTCAAGATTCCTTAAATTAAAAAGACTTCAGGAACTTCAAAAGTGGGGATTTAAATGAAAAGCAAAGTGGTGCTGATACTATTTAACTTAGAGTTTAGGATCATTGTCAAATTTTGCTTCCACAAAACCAGTCACAGAGAAGGCCCTTTTCAAATGCATAAACACCAATGGCATTTCTGATGAGAGGACTACCAGGCTTGCAGATTTTAGTAGCAAAGGCACTTTCAAACTGAATCCCAGCAGACTCACTTTAAAAAACATATACCAATGAAAGGTTACTTAATTTCAGAGAGTAACGATGGTCGATTACATTGTTAATGTTTTTGAAAAATAGCTTGTGTCACCTCGCCTAAGGTTCAAAAACAGTGAAGAAACATGTCGCTTATAACACAGTACAGAGATTTAAACTGAGGAATACAGAAAGCAGATAGTAAAGGTTTGTGATTTTTATATTGCAGAATGCGTCTGCCTTATCAGAGTAAATTAACTTGGAGGATCTATGACTAATTAATAAAGCAGGAGTCACTTAGTGTAACAGGGTGCCAATGTGTACTCTTTTGATCTTAGTCCAGCACTTGTTCGGCTTTGCTGGAGAACAGTAATTTTACAGTATAAGTGAACAGAAGACAATTGGCCCCACATTCTTGGAGAGCCAGCTTTTTCAGCACCCAGCATTTCATTACCATCAGGAACAAAAGGGAAGGCTACAGATTACCAATAAGGGTAGTCTGCTAATACAGAGTGGAGACATTTCATTAGCATTAAAGAGGAGAGATTTTTTTATGACCTAGAGTTGCTTTCCATTATGACTCACTTATAAAGAGGGGGGAGCCTAATGGTTAATTTACATGTGTAAGTGCTTCAGTCTCAGGCAGCCACTGATTGGTACAGTGCCATGTAATGAGTGCCAAACATAAGCATGCATTATCAGTAATTAGTATTAGCACAAAAATAAGCACCTATTTTTTATTAGCAGTTTTTAATAGCTTTCCCGCTTATAAAAATGGTTGAACTATTTTTTAAACGATATATTGATAGCTTGCAGAGGAGACTCTTACAAGATAACTCTGCTAATTTTTTGTACCATATTAGTAAAACATCTAATCACTGTCCCTTTTTAGACATGAAGACATACCATTTTTTAAAAATATCAGTATCCCTCAGTATTTTCATATCTTAAGAATCATAAACAGTTTAACAACATAAATTCAAAGAGGACATAACAAATGTCCTTAAAGAAAACTCTGAGAATAGACTATTCTTTTATTTTAGCAACTAAAATCTGTTTTAAAAAAAAAAATCTGTTGGGGCTGGAGGTTTAGCTCAGCGGCATAAGCACCTGCCTTGGAAGCAGGCAGTCGTGAGTTCGATCCCCAGTACCGGTAAAAAGGAAAAAGACAAAAAAAAAAAAAAAAAAAAAAAAAAATCTATCTAGAAGTATTTCTCAGTCAAAATCAGAACAGTGGATCTCCTACCACAGGTAAAACTGAAATACTATAATCAGCAAAGATGACCAAGCTAGTGAAGAACACATTCTGCAAACATGATATAAATGCTAACAAAACATAATCTTAAAAATTCCTTAAATTTAAAAAGAAGAGTATATATCCTTGCACTTAAGTAGCAAAAATTTCCATCATCCCCTTAGTAAAATAAATATTATGTTAACTAACATCACCTAAAGGCCAATAATAAATAGATAAAAATCAAGACCCCTGAAATGTTTTGATTTGAAACATGAATTTGATGACCGTAGACATACTGTCACTAAGGATGAAGCACCTAAAATTGTTTTTTCTAATAAATCAGCAAGTGTTGTACCAGGCTTCATAGACTTACAGATAATTTTCAGATTTTATTATTAAAACACCTACCCACACCTCACTCAGCTCTAGAGCTGTATATTTAAACACACAATACAAACTATCCCAAGGGAAACATATAGCATAATTATGACTAGTAAGAGCACTGACATTGGACTTAAACTTGTTAGTTACTATCTCTGTGACTTTGGTCAAGTTACTTAACCTCTGTGACTCTCAATTTCTTCATCAATATAATGAAAACAGTAATAAAAACAACCCTGCAAAAATTGTAACGAGATATATATTAAACCATCAAGAAGTTTTAACTATGGCTACTATATATATTATGTATGTTTGTATAGTTCCATATAATTAATACATTATTTATAGCATTTTAGCTATAAATGGAATTATATATACAGCATAGTACAACAGTTAAAAACAAGAACATAGCAAGCACTACTCAGTATACAAGTAGCTGAATCACAGAATATACATAAGAGGGGCTGGGAATGCAGTTGAGTGGCAGAGGGCTTCTCTAGAAACCATGACGCCCTTGGTTCAGTCCTCAGCACCACAAAAGAAAAGACACAAAGAATATACATAATAACTGGCTGTGGGGACACAGATCTGTCATCTCAGAACTCAGGAGCTAAATTAAGAGGATCAGAAATTCCAGCCCACCCTGAGCAGCTCAGCAGGCCCCTTTCTCAAAGTAAAAAATTTTTAAAAGAGCTGAGGATGTAGCATATACGAATGATAGGTGAAATATAAGCATTCCAATAAATAAATGGGCAACACCTCAAACAGGTCATAAGAGACAAATTTGTAAGCAAATGAATGTGACAAAACCAATCGTACTACTAAGTGAATATAAATTACAATGTATCATTTTTCCTATATTAGACAAAAATGTTCAGATGTTTCAGTGTTGACAGGAACAAGTATGAGATGGAGATGTAATGTTCTTTAGGTTCTAGAAATGTAAATTTTGTTTGAGAAATACTATTAAATATAAAGGGAGCAGGACTTACTTAACAGGACTTACTTAATACTTCACTAGTTATCTGATACTAGGTTTCATTCATTCTCCAGCACTGTTCTAGACACTTGTGATAATCAGTTAACAAAATAAAGATTCATGGCCACTGCATTCTGTAGTAGAATATACAGTAGATCACCAACAATAAACATAAAAACAAAAATATATGTTCGCAAGCTAAATATGTCATGGGGGTGTGCGGGGCATCAAAAATATAGAGAGCAGTGAAAAGCCACTGTCTTAAAGGGGGTGTTAGAGTCTTGCTAAGAAAAAGATAGTTAAGTCTTTAGCAAAACTCTTCAGCAGAAGGAGACCTTTAGGATATGTGACGGATCTAACAGGAGGATACAGTAAAAATTGTTGCCTGGGAGTCAGAACAGTATACACAAACAACTCAAACCTGCGGCCAGAGATAGGAAATTAGAGGCGACAGTCCAGCCTGGAAGACCAGTTTAACCTGGGTGTGACGGTGCGTGCCCACAGTCCCAGCGACATAAGACACTGACACAGGAGGATAACTTGAGCCAAGGAGCTAATCAAATCAGTCTGGGCAACACAAGGAGACCTGGGTTCAAACTAAATAAATAAAGGAAAGGCTGGGTTTCCCACTTTTCTTCCTAGCAGCTTTAAATATGTCATTCAAGCATCTGTCCCCCAATTTAAAATGATCCACACTGCTTTCCCCTGAGCCAGCTGCAGCTGTGAGTCAGGAGGAGAACCTAGAAGTCAACGCATCCTTCCCATGAGCTAGCAGCAGCCATGAAGGCCAGAAGGACTAAGAAGT